ATGGGGAAGTTTTACCGGATCCGTTTATAATTGAACCAAAAGAATGGAGCAACGATCTCAATCATTTGCCAAACATTACATGGCAAGACGTTACTCAATATTTAATCGATACACCTAGCATATACACGAAGGAATCAATCAGAGCCTATAAATCCTTGGAAGCATTTGATTACTTCACTTGTGGTCATGTTCAAGAATGTTTTTATAATAAAATATCGAATAGGAGCAAATTCTGTTTTATAAAATCAAAGATTATTTTGAATATATAATTAAAAAATAAATTTTTACTAGAGACGAATAAATAATAATTTTTATATAGAAATAATCTTTTTGTAATAGGTCTTGCCAAGTCAAAGACAAAAGCAGCATTATTATTTAAATTAGAAGCAGCTTCACGTTTAAAATTACACGAAACACCTCTTACAAGTATCTTGTGTACTTGGAAGAAATGCAAAAAATCTGTTCAGCCTGCTCCATTGCAGCTCATAAATTTTCAGCGACCTCAAAAAAATCTTTTACAAAAAGATTTGGTTGCAAAGCTACCTTAAAAAAAATACTTTTCCAACAATAATCCAATAGATGGTGAGCACCGGTTAACAGCTCAAGAGATGGAAAAACTTTTCAAAATTAACCCAAAATCTGCAACTTTTACAAGTATTAAAAATTTTATTGCCAGAGCTTCTAACACGTCGTAATGATAAATCGAGAATAAATAGTAGGAAAGTTTACTGTATATGCGAAAGACCAAGTTTTGGAAAAATGATACCATGCAATTTTACCAGCTGCAAATATGAATGGTTTCATTACGCTTGTGTTGGACTGAAACGAGCTCCAAAAACTACTAATTGGTTATGCAAAGAATGTAAAACCAAGCAATAAACCAGAACAAATATTATTTTCCTTTAATATGTATTTAGATTTTAAAACTGTAAAAATTGCTTCTTTAAGTTTATTTTTACATTTACATTAATCAAGTAACTACTCCATATTAAGATTTACAAGAGCACAAATAATAATCATAACATCATCTAACAAATCCACTTGGGTGATTGGCAACAGTCATATGAATAATACGAAACTTTTTTATTCGACCAATCACTCTTTCTACATGTATGCGAACATTAGATATCTGTCTTGATGTATCCACTTCCCATCCAGATAATTGTCTACCTTTCGTAAATGCTGGAACTTTTAACGTTGCCCCAACAGCATTTAGTTCATCTTTAATATTGAATCCTCTGTCAGCAAGAACACAGTCACCAGGATAAAGCTTCTGACAAAAGTTTGACTCAAATGTTATTTGTTTGTCTGAAATACGACCACCCCAGCCAGGAGATAAAAAACTAACTGCCCCAGCTGGAGTAATACCAATAAGATATTTAATGGTATTGTTATGTTTGTAATTAGACCATGTTTGTGATCGTGAAGTTAAATTTTTTGGCCCTTCGATAAATATTTCAGTACAATTTATAATACAAACACAATCTTTGAACTTTTTTTTAAAACAATCAGTGAATAAATTTAACATAAATGTCTCAATGTTTTTATTTGAAAATTTCCGATTATTTGTTTTTCTACCTACAAGTTTGCGCGCGCATCTTTTTTTGAAAACGAGAATGTAAACATTTGACACTCATCTATAACAAATATCTTCCCTTTTAATTTGATGTAAGAAAAAAACAATGGAATTTAACCTAGTTTTAGGGTGTTTATGGTTAATTTTCTAGCATTTTTAAGAAATTTAAATTTAGTTTAAATTAGGTTTTTCACTAGCGTTATTGTTTAAAAAAAATTAGAGTTGTAAATAAACTTGTTTTCATTCATACATTTTTTTTTTAATATTTAAGTTTTTATTTTTAACGAAGCAGTTTGTTACCCTTATCATAAAAAATGGTAATAATAAATTTATGATTTTTTTATTAAATTATGATTTTTTAACTAAAGTTTTCTTGTCTGATTTCCAAAACTTCGCATATTTAAGTCACACGAAAATTCGTCTATAATTAGGGTTGTAGCAAATTTTTGATAGGCGCTTTATAGTGTACATACATTGACTGATTTATTTAGCCATAGGCAAATTGAGTGTGCATACATTGGCTGAGGGTTTGGGTTTGGGCAGGTTGTCTTGAACTAAATGAATCATCTTTTTCATGTTTGCAAACTTATAGGAGACCGTCAGTTTGATAAGAGAGCTTACCAAGAAAAACATCGATTTAAAAAAAATAACTTCTTTTACTGGACAAAAAAAAAAAAATAAAATTGACTGAAATGATTTTTATTAAAACATTAAAAAAATAATTATTCAAAGGATACGCTACATAGTTTTAACGGGACGACTTAATAAGCGCGAATTTCATAAGTGCAAACTGGCAAAGTGCGAATGGCGTAAATGCGATCTGGCATAAGCGCGATTTGGCATAAGTGCGTCAAAAGATTTTGCAAACCCTAACATAAGTGCGAATTGGAATAAGTGCAAAGCAGTTGCATAAACTGGCACAAGTGTAAACAGACGTTTGTGCCAATTGGCATAAGTGCGCCTAACAAATTTGCAAACATTGGCATAAGTGCAATCGGGCAAAAGTGCGAAAAAATAATTTGTACTTATGCCAATATTTGCAATTTTATTCTGCACACTTATGCTTATTCACACTTATGCCAGTTTTTGTAACTGCTTTGCACTTATGTCAGTTCGCACTTATGCTAAGTCGGACTTATGCTAATATTTGCAAATTTATTTAGCGCACTTATGCCAATTCGCAGGTATGCCAGTTCGCACTTATGCCACGCTTCGCACTTATGCCAGTTTGCACATAAGCCAATTCGCGCCTATATAGCCTCCAGGTTTTAACCATTAGTTATTGTAATTATTTAACATAAAGCTGAGTATAACTTAATAATTAAATAAAATCACTTTATTTTAAAAAACAAATGTTACTTTAAGTTTCTTCTATGGTTTCAAATCATGACACGACATTTTATTAAACAATTTTAAAAACCAATAATAATAAAAAAAAAAATTGCTTTCTGAATTACTTTAGGCATAAAGTTTCATTAATTGTATAATACTTGCAAATTTATTTGGCAAATTCGCACTTAATCCAATACTTGCAAATTTATTTTGTGCACTTATGCCAATTCGCAGTTATGCCAGTTCGCACATATGCTAATTCGCGCCATACGTTGACGCCATTTTACTAAAATGCTATATTTTTAAAATATTATAAACGCACCTATTTGCGTCAAGGTATGAAAATTATGCCGATTTCTTTTTGAGTATGCCGATTTTTTTTTATAAATGTTCCAAGCATATTCCCGAGCCATTTCAATGCTGTTGAAGTTCCATCTGTTTTACATTTTCATAATGCACCACACCAGTAATGGATCTATGACTTTATGGTGTTTGAGTTAGCTAACATCCAGACATGGAGCAAACTCCAAACGTTTGTATATTTATATTTAAGTCAAATAATTATGCTTTACAAATATTTGCGATGATTGGAGGCAGGGAACGAGAAATCTCTTTAACTTTATCCCCATCTCCTACCCCAAACGCGAAGGGCAACAAGTAAATAAAAAAATTTTTATACTGTTTTCAACTGCACTTATATTCATTGATAACTTTTAAGTTTCATTGTATTATCTCTCAGCTTTCAAAAATTATCATCATATAAAATGTGTAACTCCCTTAAATTAAGAAGGGTTTAAACTTTTTATGTTAATGTTTTTTGAATCTCAAACATTAAAAAAAACCTGCATCTGTCTCTGTACCACACTGTAACTTACTTTCTTTGCTAACTTGCAAATGCTATCTTATCATAAAAGGTAGATATGCTATTTTACTTTTTTGAACTTTATTTAATCTTTCAAATCCTTAAACAGTACGGTAAATTTAGTAGCAGAAATGTCAACTGTTTATTAATTTTTTTTTCACTGTGTTATAAAAAATATTCGCTTGGCTCAGAATCACTTTGGAAGATTTATAGGTCCA